CCATCTTCAGCGGCCCTTGTTGGCCCGGCAACCGGGTCCTCTTCCCCTTTTTTTTTTTTTCTTTTTTGCCAGACCCGGTTTGGGCATTTTGGGAATCGTTCCCTTCCCCCCGTTGTTTTTTTTTGTGGAGGGAGCGTTTTTTTTGGGGGGGGCCCATGTGGCCCGCCGGGGGAAGAGTTTCCCCATGCCCTAATGGTGCCGGGGGGGGGGGGGGGGGGCGAGGGCGGGTCGTCCTCATGTTTTGCATGCCTTTGGTCATTGACCACATGTCCTCGAGAGGACGGAGCATTGCTCCACAGGACCGATCATCGATGGCCAATCGCTCGGGGGGGGGGTTGTAAACGAGTACCTGTCACCCCCAGACCTCAACAACACCGTCAGACCCCACCGAGAGCGTCAGAAACGGGTACCTAGCGACGAGGGCCAGCAACAAAACCTTGCGCGGTCTGCTACAAGCGACCAAACCACCAAGCACTAGACTAGTCTCCATCACCCAGACACTTGGCGGCATCGCGCGCGGAAGCTGTCTCTTACAGAGTGAATCACCACCACCGTCACAAAAAAGTTTATCATTGGCCGTCATTGCGGTAGAGAGAATGAAGGAAAGATGCCGATCACGTCTAGTCGAAAGCCCACTGGTTGCATTCTACGGGGCCTCCCTCTTGTCGGCGAAGTCGAAACCGGTGTCATTCTGACACGCGGTGCTCCGCTCTACTGGATACACCGCCTCCATCAGATGATCTACTACAACAACAACAATAACTTACCGACAACGGCGACAACAACCACAACATCGTCAGCAACAAGAACTGCAAGAACAATACCAATAAAGCTAGCGCCCGCACGTAGGAACATGGCAGTGAAGAGCCCCGAAAAACTCAACTTCTAAGAACTTGAGCACCCTCTGCGAGCCTGGTCAACAATACACTCAAACCAATATATCAGTCATTTGTTATAAACCCTATGCATAGAAACAAAGAACCCCACTCCATGGAAAAACTGAATTTCTGAAGTGCGGGCGTTGCTAACCGCAGCAGCAGCGGCAGCAGCAGCAGCAGAAGCAACAGCAACAATAACAACAACAACAACAACAACAACAACAACAACAAAAAACATCTATTGTTAAATGCTTGCACAACTGGTCCCTCGTCCGGCCGGTCTCCTCTCACCGGCATACTTGGCCTGCTCGTTGGCGATGTTCCTGTACCGCCTCCAGCAGGCCTCGGCCGACTTCCCCACCATGTCAGCCACGGGCTGCACCGCTTGCCGCATCGAGGAGGAGTACCCGTCGCGACCGGGCCCGGAAGGCTTGGAGTTGGGGTACCTGGATTCGTACACAGAGGTGTGCGTGACTTCGTACACACGTTTTGTAGAGCGATTTCTATGCATATGTGTGTAATTCGCTTATTCTTTCGACGACACGAACCCACCCACACCTATGCCGACCTTTGGAGACCTAGACCTCATTCGTAGTTGTTTCTGTGCCGCAAGATTTCGCCAGCTGAAAAATAGGACGTTCTTCCTCTCTTTTCGTCTCTTTTTCATGTTTTCGTTGGTTCTACCCTGTATTGGGTCAGCTCGGGCTGGATCACGGAAACTCGCTTTTCTTCGTTAGTCCACTTGCAAGGGGTCGAACGAGAAAGTACTGAATAGCGGTAGGTCACGAAAGGTTCTTTGATGCCAAGACACCGATATCACCAACAGAATGCTACGGGGAAACTTCTGATCACGTATTCATTTCCCACAACGAGCGGCGTGGAACACAGCACAAAAAAAATCGATCCATCAAGCATCAGTCCCCGGTAAACACCGGAAGAAGCGTTGGCTCTACTTCAGCACAACAAGCCCAAATCTAGAGACGAGAGGAAGCACAGACGGCAGTGCACAGTTAAGCGGTGTCCCGGTGCGCTAATCTTGCTGTATTCCATGCGTTGATGTTGCATGAAGGAAACACTGATGATAACACTCACGTGGGCTTTGGCAGGAAGTTCTTCACGGCCAAGATGAGCGCCATGTCCTGCTCCGCCGTCCATCTGTGGTTAGTTAGAAATATTGTGATAATGGGGGTACACTCATAGTCGTGCATGCCGTAGTCGTTAAAACATTGACCTCGGGGGGGGGGGGCGGGCGGGGGGGTGAAACAAGATTCGACAAAGCGTGAATAAATACCTAACGCCAACTAGCCGCAAAGTCAACTACGGGATAGAAAAGGGCGGGGAAAGCATGCGCCAGAGACAGAACTAAAGGTGGATAGAACAGAGGGCACGGCACAACCAAAGGCAGCTTTTCTGACTCGGGGTGAGCCATAGTTGCCTCGCCAACAACGATGAAAGGGGCGCGCGCGGGGAGGGGAGAGTCGAGGTAGCGGGCGGTGCTTGCCCGAATTAGTCTTGCCTTTGCAACAACTCACTTCACGACGAGGGACACAATGACACAAGACACCAAGGACGAAAAAGGTACCGGCGAGGAACCTCCGCAACAATTTTTCACCGGCGGCTGCTGGCTCTAGCGGTCGGTCCCCCAGCCACCTGCGACCTCATCATCTCGCTTTTGCCAGCCTTTCACCTCTCTACCCGAGACAACATCAACATCCATAAAAAAGAAAGACCCACAGTTTCTTGGCCCAGTGCCACCTGTTGACCTCTTCCTCCTCCTCCGGCTCGTCGTCGTCTACCCCCCACTCCTTGGGGTTCGTCAGATGCGGCACCTGAACACGAAAGGAGGCGGTGCATGCAGAGCCGTCTCCGCACTGTAAGGCCCCCAAAGTCATGGGATACTCTCCGCTTATTGGGCACTGTATATACCAGCCAAGGCACACGTGGGTTTGGTGGTCGGCATTTCCGTTCACGCACGTCCTTTTTCAGAAGCAGGTTGCCCCGCGGAATGAAAATAACAATGTAGGGAGCTATTCAAAAGGACAACACTCTCCCCGCTGTAAGGACGGTTGCTTTTGGTGACAACCAAGAGTGTCCTCTAAAGCGTGACGACTGTATGCGCACCACCACCACCACCAACAACAACAACAACAGCAGCAGCAGCAGCAACAACGACAACAACCGAAAAAGCGGGTGACAGCAAGGTACAACCCACACAGGCTATAGCCAGCGAGCAGCTAAATGCCCCAATCCTTGCCCTTGCCTTCTTGAGCAGCCACGAGGCTAGCGGGTGCGCCACCTGAGCCACCTCCTCCGTCACCCCGAGGGCCACGTTCATGACGCTATCGTGCTTCGCTAGCTCTTTGGCACGCTGCCCCGTGCCGAAGAACTGGAGGAAAAACAAACGCCATCCGGCATGTGCAGCAACACCGCCCCCGCCGCCGTGCCACAAAGTAGCGAGGGGAAAACAAATAGAAACGCAGCACGGAAAGAAAAAGCAGAGCCACCGAGAAATACAACGGAGAGGAAATTTTCTCGGCAGGGCAAAATAAAAGCGGTCGAGAATTCGATTTCCTGATCTGGGTTTCGACGTATCTTAACAACGAGCGGTGCTTTCGGTCAACAACACAAATGAGAAGAAAGAGCCCTGATGCAGCAGAGTCGACATGGGCCATCAAAATATTGCCCCCGCTCAAGAGGTGGTGCATGGGAGCTTTCCCTATTCCTCCATTCCACGGCATCCACCAACAAAAAATCTACAACAACGATGCTATGCATAGCACAATAACATCACCTGACTTGTCCATGGCAACATGCGCAGGCGACTCGACGTAGCTCGCTCACCTAACAGGTGTTCCAAAAGTTGCTCCATTGAGCAAGTCTACAAGAAAACAGCAGGAGTTAAGAACAAAAAAACAAAACATTTACACCTAACCCGCACACACAAAACACGCACATGCACTACATAGCTCACTCTCACCTGATAGGTGTTCCAAAAGTTGCTCCACTGCATGTGGCCGGGGACCCTCCTCGGCTGCGCCATGCTCTTGTCCTCCGTGTAGATCACCACGTCCACGTGCAGTACAGCCCACCCGAGGCCCATCCTGAACTCCTTCGGCGGGGACTTCTCGCGCAGGAGGGCCTCCGCCGCCGCGGACCTCGCCTTCTTGTCCCGGCTGATGCCGCGGGTGGTGTCGCGGGCCACGGGCGTCCGGGAGTACTGCAGGGCGTCCTGCCGCGCCACCCTCGCCGCCTCGACCGCCTTGTGTCCACGGCGGGGGGGAGAGAAAACGAAGAAGACTTCATGAACACACACACACACTCCGAGGACTTCCACTATCCCCGGAGACTGGAACGGGGCCGGGTGCCACACCAACTACCAGTGAACGGGTGGCTAGGGTTTCTGCTCTCTAAGGTTTATGTGGATATCCTGCAAAACGTGCGCCGCAAAACTTCAGGTACGTGGTGTATATCACGTTACAGTAACCTATTCAAGAAGTCGGGTAGCCCCTGAATACTAGACGAATCGTCATTTTTCGAAGTGGGCGTGACTGCACATGTGCGGAGATCACACATATTGCCCTCGGAGCTTCGCCGTTGTGGGTTAGGACACATCGCGTTTGACGATGCGCGAAGAACGCGTGCACCAAGCAAACGACCAGAATCAACACCATGAGCAACAGCAACAGCTCACAGCAGTAGCAGATGGAACACACGTAAAGCAAACCACCGAACACCCCAAGCAGGATTCACAAAAAGAGAGACCAGCTACCGACAAAACAGACGCCATTGCGCGACTCAGCCTCCAATACCTTGTGGAACTTGTCTATCGCCGCCGAACCGTCGCCCCCTCCGCTGACCGCCACCGCCTTCCCCGTCGTCTCGTCGGTGGAGATCGGAACCACCTGCGCGGTCGCGTGGCGGTAGGCGAAAGGGTCTTCGCCGGGGAGGCTTGACGGCGGCGCTCCCCCCTCGGTTCTGCTGTTGTTGTTGGCCGATCCGCTCGAAGGCGCGCTCGTCGAGGTTACGCCGCCGCTGGCGGAGGAGGAGGAGGAGGAGGAGGACGGGGCTGCCGGGGAGTCCATCTTGGTGAGAATGCGCATGTCGTGGAGGGTCTGCAGGGTGCTGCCGGCGCACAACACGACGGGCGTCGCGTATTGTCGGGCCGTGAACAGTTTCCGTTGGAAGAGGCGTTCGCCAGGGGGGGGGGTACGTCAATTGTTTTGGTTGGGAGAGGCGGCGGGGTACAACACTCCGCTTCAAGCGGGAATTCCGCCACACGTCGATGGATTAGCTTGTTCGAGCCCGACCGTGGTTCGTTCTCGGGTTTCTTGCGTCCCCAAAACAGAAAAATAAAAAACACGCACAACAAAAACAACACATCTATTGGCCTATTAACTTAATCTTCCTTCAAACTTCAAACCCCGTGTGACTATTCGGTGCATCCAATTCACGAACAATGCATCTGATATTTGGCACCAACGCGAAGCTGCGGCTGTCTGTCTGTCACTGCTGTTATGAGACTAGACTACAGCATTAGCATCAGAGACGCTATCTATTACACTGCTGTAGGATGACACTCCTGCTGTATGTACAGGTACGCATGCAACGCAGAGCACCACGTACCAGAGTCTCCATTTCTCAACCGCACACGACACGGGTAGTTGCCGTTTCCTTGTTTCACAAAGGCATGGGAAAGGGTAACCAGCTCGCAGTTTCGATAACGGTGGAGTTTCTTTCATACATTTAAGAAGAGCGACACACCTCAAGCGACGCCCCCGTCCCGGCGCAAGCAGCATGTCGAAACTATTTCCATTGAGGTGCGGCACATAAACGTTGAAGCGGCTCGTGCGCGACAAGTAGCTACCTCACCTCGGCGGAGAAGCAGAGCAAGATCACACGGAACGTACCGTGTATGCGGTTCGCGTTCTTACCTCATTAGCGCTTCCTTGTACCACGGGACGGTGCGCATGATTTCCCAGATAGCCCCTGCGGCGGCGGGCGAAACATAACGCAGATCGAGCGAGACATTAGGGGAACCGAAACGGAACGGGGAGGGGGGGGAGTAAGCGCGCAGGCAAGGCGAGTGATGGTGTTGTAACCACAACACCACAGGAACTTGTATCGCCAATCGTGCTCGCATCTAGACTTCGTCGAGAGCTTGCTTTAGACGTATCGGTCGCGCTTCGCACCCTCTTGGTGCTGTGGAGAAATCGACCTCTCAAATATTCGGTCTAGGGTGGTGTGCCATGACCCGCGTACCTACGGTAACGACGCCCCCCCCCCCGGGCAAATCAAGCACAAAATAAACGACACGACAAAACTGAAGCACGTGCTCTCTCCCTTCCCTGCGTTTTCGGTCGAAGTTCTCCCGACTGGCGGTTCAGGAGGAATTGACCATAGTGGGTGGCCGTAGTCTCTTGTAAGGACCAAGCATGCACGAGCGGCGGCGGCGGCAGCAGAGGACAGACAGATAGACAACAAGCAAGCTCTTACTTGGGGCCTGCCGGATGGTCGCCTTCTTGCTCTCGGCCTTCTTGAGAACCTTGTACATCTCTTTCGAGTGCAGGTAGTTCGGGGGGCAGCCGAACATGGTAATGAAGGTGCTCAGCTGCGTGTCGAGTATGACCCTGCAAGCAAAATAAAAAAGAAGAGAGAGGCAAACAAGGCGAAAGGAGCGCTCAGACGACACGAAGCGAGTTCCGCGTGTGTGGAGCGAGACCTGAGAGCTGCTGGTGTCTGCTGCTGGCACGAGGCTGTGGGCGGCCACCACCGACGAGGACAAGCCTACATACCACGATCCCAACTCAAACCAAATTGTTTCCTCTCTTGCTACATTGATCACCACTCGATGTCCCCGCTAAAATATGTCATTAAACCTCCATCATCACGATGACACCATGTGCGAAAGAGGTGCCAGCGGTTTTGCACGTGACATGATTGATGTGGCTTGTTCGAAGTGCAATCACCCGTGGGCTCGCGTGTGCCTGCTCTCTGGAGCGATTACATATATTTTCTGACTCGACGCACTCGGCACAAACACACCTGCGCTTGCACCGTTTGTGTTTTTTGGTTCTCTTGTTTGGGCGAGTCTCTCTCCTTCCCTCCTCTCTCTCTCTCTCTCTCTCTCTCTCTCTCTCTCTCTCTCTCTCTCTCTCTCTCTCTCTCACACACACTCACACACACACACACTCTCTCTTGCTTACCGATCTAGGTCGAGCGCGCGAGACCCCACCCTATGGCCGGGCAGCCTGGTCAGACATCGCAGCAGCTCTCGGTGCAGGATCATGGTGCGGTGCATCTTTCTCTTGTAGATGAGGAAGCGCTCTGGCGACTTGACGCCGTCCCACGAGTACTGCGCGCCGTAGCGCTCCCCCTGTGGCAAAACCGAAAGTGGGAAAGAAGCGTTGATGTCGTCGTCGTCGTCATATGTGGATCGTTGTATTTGTTGCTGCCGATATAAGCCTCAGTGTCGTTCGCAACCACCCCACAGGCCTGAACAATACCTTGTGCGTTCCACGAACTGCGCTCCGCCTGTTGTAGGTGGCCCCGCCACTCGATTGCTAACCCTTGCACAAGTACAGAACTGGTTGTGGTGTGATACGAATGCATGCACACCCCTTGCCGATATAGAAGAAGGTGTCGGTGTCACATCGTTCCCCGGGTTTGGATAGCGACCCCCAGACCGAACAGCACAACAGCGCATCAAACTGCTGTGTGCGGTACAACTAGCGCCCCACGAACAGCGGACCAGTGCCGAGCCGCTATGCTGCCGCGCTAAGGCCGACACACAAACACGCCACAAGGCGCAATCAAGAGTGCAAGAGTGGGAGAGAGGCTCGGGAGAGACAGAGACAGAGATACTTCTGCGTACAGCGATACATCAACAGGCAAGCCGACAGTCGGACAGATACTCCATTCCATCAGTCAGATGCTTTCCGTGGTCCTCTCGAACGGGAGTACCGTACAGTAGCACGGCACAAATACGTTGGGCTGTGACGCAAAGATAAATAATAATTATGCATAGGGAGCAAGCGTTTCATACAAACCCTGTGACTTCATTTCCACTGGACGTTTTGGCTTGCCGATTTGATTGCGGAGGTTTCAAATCCAATCGTGTCGTTCCCCGACTGTGATATTGCCATCACGGCGATTTCAACCAATCAAGTTGACTAAAATGCCTCCAAACTGCGTCCTACTCGGCTAATAGATGCTGGGATTTTCAGTCATACGGGAAAAAAAAGTAATACTTCGGAGCACAGTTCGTTCACTCGCACATATAGGTTGAACTTTGTCAAGTAACCACGCCAAATACTCACGCCACATTCGTTTCAATCTCACGATACATGCAGACTTCTCACCCTTGCCGCAATCCACAACACACCGGGCCAACATGATGTTTGAGGTGATCAACAGCAGCTGCTGTGAGGTGCTCAATCAACAGCTACCCTGCTGAGTGTTCCAAAAAAGAGAAATGACTTGCCGCTTTGATTCTGGTGCTCTCTCGGTGGACGGCCGTCTCGACGGCGTAGAAGTTCTCGGCGTATTCCGCCAGCGACTCTGGGTCCGTCTTGGCGTCGGGGAGCAGGACCATCTCCCCGTGCCCGAAGGTCTTCATCCGACCGCGCCTAATAAATGGTACGGTCCGTTGAAAGCATCAATATTATTATCGTCGTACGCATGAATCCTAGTTCTTGAAATCATCGTGTTATGATGACACGTAGTGGTAATAATACAACATGTTATTTTTTTCTTCTTTGTTGCGTCATCTTCCTCTTGCTGGTACTGCCGTGAGTTCTTACGTATTGACTTACCATGCCCAACGCTCGGGTTGTGGAGCAGTTGCCGTTTTGATCCTTCCCTCCTGCACCAGCTCCGCGACTACCGTGTCGAGAGTGGCCTTCTGCAGCATAGGTCCTGGCCCTTCGAGCAGCTTGATCAGTTGGATCACCTTCAGCTGCAGTATTGGGTACACCAAAAGCAACAGGAGAGCAATTTGCAGCAGCAGCAGCAGCAGCAGCAGCGGCGGCGGCGGAGCACTGCTTTCAACCCTTAAAACTCAACCACAACCACAACCACGTGACGCCAACCACTGCTGCTACGACTGCTTCTGCTGCTGCTGCTACTGCTACAACTGCTGTGCTGCTACCACTGTTGCTGCTGGGCGTACTACACGCTATGCGGCACGGCTACTACAACCAAAAAGCGCGTACCACGGGGATCGACTTGCAGAGCCCCAGTTCGTGCAGCACGAAGGACTTCCGCCTGTCCTTCGGGGTCATCTGGAGCCAGGCCAGCCTCTCGGCCATCGAGCACCCTTCCGGCGGGTACACGGGGTTCATCTCGAACTTCACCCGATCTACGATGATCTTGTCCAGGGACTTCGCCGCAGCCGCAGCGGCCGCCTCTGTGAGCAAACGTCAACGGGGGTGCGCGCGGCGGCGACACCAAACCCAACGAACGGCACGTGCCAGAGCATATCTATTGAGGATCCAACTAACCAAAAAGGAAAAAACGACTCGCGGGGCAAACAAAAAAAACAAAACATATCCGCAAATCAATCCGATTCTCTGAATTTCTACTTCGTTTATTGCCTCTCTTCTTTTCGTAGATTTGCGAGCTTCTTTTCGTGCTGCGCTTTGTTTTGCATATCCTCAACTTTGCCGCGAAAACGGCTCACAAAAACCTCCTCCCAGCGTCGGTAGCTACATATTCAAACGCTAGAGCAAAGCGCACGCTCGCCTTCCGAAGCAGCATCACGCCGGGACCTAAAAAAAAACGGCCTTGATTCACCTACATAGAAAAATACCGTATCATTGGACCACGTGGAAAAAGAGTAAGGTTGACAAAAACAAATCCGCGCCTCTTTGCTAACCTCTCCTAGATCATTTTTCTTACCGTCCACCTCCCGGCCGATGTCGTCCACCATGGCGTCGAGCTCGTCGTCGTCGCTCCAGTTCACGTCACCCAGCCCGGCTCCGGCTGCTCCGCCAGCGGCCCCGCCTCCAGCCCCAGCCCCGTCTGCACTGCCACTGCCGCCGCTGCCACTGCCGCCGCCGCCGCCGCCGCCCGCGGGAGTCGCTTGCGATGTCACCGTCGTCGTCGTCTTCGTCACAGGAGTTGCCGGGCCTTGGGTCGGGGACGCCTTAGAAAGGGTGGGGAGATCCGTCTTGATGGCGGATGCTGAGGTGGTGATGATAGTGGTGGCGGGGCGCTTGGTGTTGCCGCGTCCCAGGAGCTCTTCGTCGTAGAACAGGGCCTGGACCTTGGCGTTTCGCCCCTCCTGGGGTGTTTCGGTGGAGTAGGTTTCGAGGCCGCGGTAAATAGAAAGCGACACAAGTAAAGAGGCACACACAGAGAGAACATGTATTTCAATCCGAGCCGCTACGAAGCGATGGAAAGAAAAAGAGGATCCAAGGGACGCAAATCTAATCCAGTGGAACAGGAGCGAAGCTAGGCGGCATCAAGGCGCACTAACCCTTGTGTAGCCCTTCCAGATCCCGTAAGCGTTCGGGTTCTTCACCAAGAAGTCCACGATCTTCACGGCGGGTCGCTTGGAGCAGTGCAGCTGCCGCCTGATGAGAAAGAAGCGTGCGACGCAGGCCACGCCACCCCCCCCCCCCCCAAGCAAGCGCCCGGGAAAAAAAAAAAAACAACCCCGAAAAAAAAAAACTTGTGTGAGAACCCCCGGTGAAAAAAACAC